AATATTTTTGGCATTTTTTTTTGTCTCATGTTTAACAGAACATAATCAAAAATCACAACTATTCTGTCAATCATAAAGTAACATAGAGGTATTTTAATAAGTACTCATGGTGTCAGCAATGAGTCGATAACTGTCAAGTAACAAAGTCCCAGAACCACCCTGTAATGAAGACCGCTTTTTGCCTACATGAGGTGCAGGAACAGTCTGTGGAGCAAGAGACACCATACTTCTTACTCCTCTCAAAGGGAACAAGGTGGGATTTTACATCTTTTAGAAGTTTCTCAAACGTGATTATCAGCAGAGATCTCATTTCAACTGATTTAACTGATTTATTCATTCCATATTACTGGTTTATTTCCCAATCTTCTCACCCCCCTAAGAGAAATCAGTCTGTAATCCTACAAGAAAAATCTATGAAAAGAAAATGTTTTATTGTTCTTCTGCTTCTTTTATCTGGAAATGTGCAACCTAATCCCGATCCAGACTGCAAATGCTTAAGTACTCCTTGTGATTTCAAACTTGAACAGTCTTGGTATCACTCATTTAAATGTCAGAAGTCTTCTTCCCAAACTTGATTTTGTGAAAATTTTGATGAAAGAGTTAGATACTGATATTCTTATATTATCAGAAACCTGGCTTACTAAATCAATTACTGACAAAGACATTGCAATAACGGGCTATAATCTTTTCCGTTGCGACCGCCCCAGAAAGGGTGGCGGTGTTGCAATTTATGTAAAAAGCAAATTCCATGTTACTGTCGATTCATCAGTATCTGTTTGTAAGCAGTTTGAACTTCTTGCCCTCAAACTCCAACTTTTCAAGGGCTATTTTATTACCATTGTGGGCTGTTATAGACCCCCCTCAGCTAGTAGTGAGGCTTTAGTTTCACTTAGTGAAAAACGATCTACTTTAGATTTTAATGAAATTGTGCTGGCCGGAGATTTCAACTGGGACTGGTTGTCCTCTGCCTCAGACAGTTTTAAATCCATGTGTGATTCATATAATCTCACACAACTAATTTACAGCACAACTCGTCCAAATCTTAAATGCCCAGAAAAGTCATCACTTATTGATTTATTTTTAACTAATATGCCGTATAAATATTCTCACACTGGGGTTTTCGCAAATGATATCAGTGACCACTGTGTGGTAGCTGTAGTCAGTAGGGCTGCCACGATTTGTCGACTAGTCACGATTACGTCGACTATCAAAATCGTCGACGACTGATTTAATAGTCGACGCGTCGTTTGAAACTTTGTACGATCACAAAAGACGCAGGAATAAGTGGCAGGATTTAAGAGTGTAATAACGGACTGAAACAGAAGATGGCAGCACTGCATGTACAAGGATGTCAGCTACCGTTAAACCCGAAGAAGAAGAAGAGCAGCTGGTCCAGAATTCATAGCGCAGCCCAGCGCAGTTTCCAACAATGGCGGCAGCTAGTTAGTTTTAATGTTACTCTTATTATTCTTTCTGGGTCACAAAATAAACGTTTAACATATTTTCAGCGAGAATGTAGCTGTGTAAACCTCAAATATCTGCTCAGTTATCAGGACACCACATATTTCAAAAGCGCTCCGACGTTTCGGAGACATCTGTTACCCACTAGCTCGTTAGCGAGCCGGGGGCTAGGCTCACTAGCGCCGTGAGAACACCGGACTCCCCGCAAATCGTTTTCAAACCCACCGCCGTCTTTCGCTACTCAGGTTAAATATATATGAGTCACTTAGATAACTTCAAAATGTTGTTTGGCTTTTTTTTTAAGTATTTTATTTGTTCCTGAGTAAATCAGTTTGTCTGAGATTAAAGTTATAGTTTTTACACAGCTGAATAAACGTCAAGCAGACAGCTGATTATCAGAAGTGTGAGATGCTCCAGAATATACTCCAGTGTCTGTTATATTTTAGATAGCAAGGAGTTTATTAAACTTCACCGAAACAATCTGCAAATTTCATTAAAATTCAATAAACTATCATCTTGTCTTTATTTTTAGTTAGCACAGACCTTAAACACTTAAAGCTGTAAGCTAATGATAGTTATATAAGAGCAGATGCTGCTGGTGCAATAAGCTGTAGTTTTACGTCTAATGGATGATGATCTGATTAGTCGACTAATCGCAAAAATAATCGGTGACTAGTCGACTATCAAAATAATCGTTTGTGGCAGCCCTAGTAGTCAGGCAATCGAAGCTCCCAAAATCAAGGCCACAGATAGCTTTTAAACGAGATTTTAAGCATTTCTGTGAGCAAGCTTTCTTTCATGATTTATGGGACTATAACTGGAGTAGAATCTACCTGATAACTGATCTTGAGCTGGCATGGAATTATTTTTATGATACTTTTATCAAAATTACAAATAAACATGCCCCTATCTGCAAATTTAGAGTAAAATGCAGAAACAACCCTTGATTTTCTCTTCAGCTCTCTAGTCTACTCAAAAAAAGGGATGCTGCCTGGGCTAAGGCCAGAAAAACTAAATCCGAAGCGGATTGGCTGATTTTTAGACAGCTTAGAAACCGTTCAACTTCCTTAATTAAAAAGGCCAAATCAGAATTCTATCTTTCAAATACTACTAAACATTTGAACGATCCTAAAAAATTCTGGAAAATAATAAAATCTTCTTATGGGGACATAATTACAAATGAGATGCCAACTTTTGTTGTAAAAGACTCCTGTACTTTAACAGAGAAATGCGACATTCTAAACTGCTTTAATGAGCATTTTGTTTCTTCAGGATCTCTATTTGAATCTTTATATCCAGATTTAAAACAGCTTAATCAACAAGAGGCTCTCTCTGCAACCGCTCAAACTGAATCTGTGGTCCAACCCTTCAGTTTTTCTCCGCTAAATGTTTTTGAGGTCCAGAGGAACAGATCAACTTGATCCCTATTTTCTTAAGTTGGCTGCAGATTTTATAGCAGAACCAATAACTTACATTTTTAATCTTAGCCTCTCGAACAGTGAGATCCCTGTAATATAGAAATCTGCCTATGTTCTCCCTTTGCTGAAAGGAGGTGATCCTTCAGATGTTAATAATTACAGGCCCATATCTAAATTGTGTGTTCTAGCAAAAGTTCTAGAAAAGTTCATTAGTGAACAACTGAAAGATTTTTTGGACAAAAATTCAGTTCTTTCCCAACATCAGTCAGGATTCAGAAAACAACACAGCACAATAACTGCTGCTATTAAAGTGGTTAATGACATTGTTGATTCAATGGACTGCAAAAAATACTGTGCGGCTCTTTTTCTTGACTTGTCAAAGGCTTTTGATACAGTTGACCATGCTATTTTATTAAATAGACTAAACAATATTGGTCTATCTGTAAATGCTGTAAGTTGGTTTTCAAATTACTTGTCAGCAAGAAAACAGTGTGTCCGTGCTGCTGGGTCTTCTTCCTCTTTTCTCCCAGTATCCAAAGGAGTTCTGCAGGGCTCCATATTAGGACCATTGCTATTTTCTCTTTACATAAACAACCTTTGTGATAATTTGTCAAATGCAGCATTTCATCTTTATGCAGATGATACAATTATTTATTGTTCATCCCCTTCAGTAGCACAAACCCTGCAATTTCTGCAGTCTGCCTTTGATGTCGTTCAGTCCCATTTAACTCAACTTAAGTTGGTGTTAAATCCAGAGAAATCCAAGTTTATGTTATTCTCAAATGGCAAAGAGTTGTTAGCTACGTCTCCTAAGATTAAAACAATTCAAGGATCTGAAATTGAAATGGTCACATCTTACAAGTATCTAGGGATCATTATAGATCAGAATTTGTCATTTAAGACTCACATTCAAAGGCTTGTGTCGAAGTTAAAACTAAAACTAGGTTACTTTTTAGAAACCAATCCTGTTTCTCCCTCCAAGTGAGAAAACATTTGATTCGTTCAACCTTTTTACCTTTATTGGATTATGGTGACCTGCTTTTTATGAATGCACCTGCCCACTACCTAAAGAGGTTGGATACTGTGTACCATTGTGCTTTACGTTTTATTACTGGCTATGGAAGTCGTGTACATCATTGTTCTCTGTATGCTGCTGCTAAATGTCCATCTTTGCATATTCGTAGACTCTCCCATTGGTTGATTTTTATCTATAAATCTCTCCTTGGGCTGGTTCCATCTTATTTATGTGTTTATATGTGTAAAAACCACAACCAATACAACCTTCGTTCGAACAAAATCATACACTTGATTGTCCCAAAAATCAGAACAGAATGGGGGAAAGGGGCTTTTAAATACGCTGCCCCTGCTTCCTGGAATAATCTGCAGAAGGAACTGAAATTATCAGAATTGGTTACCTTGGGAGAGTTTAAGTCTGTCTTAAAGGAACGAGAGAACAGCTCTTTTACTCAGTGTGATTGTTTTTAATGTACTCTTTTTGTATTTGATCTGTTATTGTATATTTTACACATGTTTGTATGCGATATTGTATTTGTTTTAAATGTTATACCTATGTGGTATGTGACTTTTGTTGCTATGATGCCAGGTCTCTCTTGGAAATGAGATTTTTAATCTCAATGAGATTTTTTACCTGGATAAATAAAGGATTAATAAAGTGAAAAGCTGTGCTGAGCAGACACACTCGAGCAGCAACTCTGGAAACCCAATCCAGCTGACAGGCATGTGACACAGGTGAGTGTGGTCAAGTATTCACTGGTTACCATATTTTAACGGTTTAGACATTCCTGTTAAATATGTTGCTGCTGTTTGAGTGTAGTGGCACTTTGGTCAGTCAACTGAATGAATAAATATTTTTACTGAAATATGATGGTTGAAATATTAGACACAAAGGAGCAAAGCAACTTAATTTTGGCATTTCTTTAGATTGCAGCATCTTTACACAGGATACTATTAGTTTTCAGTTGGGGTCCAGTGAGGTAAGTGGTTCGATGTAAATGACATTTTCATGATAGAAGATATCTGCTTAAGAAAATTTCAAGAACTCATAAATGGTCACATTGTTTCAATTTATGTCATATTTTCAGTCTCCAGTAAAGTGCCAACATGAGCACAGACGCGGAGATGGAGCAGTATGGCCCGGCAGCCATTTGCCTCCGGAAGCCAGAAAAGGAGAGGATTAAAGCTCAAAACACCCCATTTGATGCCAAGATGGCCTTCATTGTGACTGATCCTGATGAAGTATATGTCAAGTGTAAACTTATCAAGAGGGAGGGTGGTAAATCCACTGTTGAGACAGAGGGAGGAAAGGTAGGTAAAAATTCTTTCCATTTTACGTCTATATATTTGTCATCCTGTCTATGTAAACATTTGTCTGCTATATCACAACAAACACCCTGTTGATTATTTAAAAATTGCTTTCTATTCAGACAGTCACTGTGAAAGAGGAAGACATCCACCCCAGGAACCCTCCAAAGTTTGATAAGATGGAGGATATGGCAATGATGACACACCTTAACGAGCCATCTGTGCTGTTTAACCTCAAAGAGCGTTTTGCATCATGGATGATCTACGTAAGTTTTATTTGAAGGTTTATCTAAAAGAAATAAAATGCAAATGAAAAATGAGAAATGTAAGCAACCCTTATGCTCTCTGCTATGATACAGACCTACTCTGGGTTGTTCTGCGTCGTCGAAAATCCCTACAAGTGGCTTCCTGTGTATGATGCTACATGTGTAGCAGCATACAGAGGAAAGAAGAGGATTGAGGCTCCACCCCACATCTTCTCCATCTCTGACAATGCCTATCAGTTCATGCTCACTGGTAAGTAGTAGTTACTGTTAAAGTTTGTGAATACAAACTAAAAGATGCCTTAAATGTGAGGTTATTGCTGCAGTTAGATAAAATTCTTTAATGTTTGTATTCCAGATCGGGAAAACCAATCTGTTCTGATTACGAGAGTATTGCACACATGATTATCTCTAAAACTTGATACAGAGGATGAATCTTGAAAATATGTCTCTTATACTGTCTCCAGTGGAGAATCTGGTGCAGGAAAGACTGTCAACACCAAACGTGTCATCCAGTACTTCGCAACAATTGCATGAGCTAAGAAGGAATCATCACCTGGCAAGATGCAGGTAATATTGGTTATTTATGATAGACCCATGTGTGGGTTGAGTTTATGTACGATTCTAATGTTCTAATGTCATTTACAGCTTTTGTTGTGGCAAAAACATTTGCATATATCAGCTCCAAGTACTCTTGGCTGTGTTTGCTCTGTAGAGGAGATCTCAGATCTGACTGAGCAGATTGGTGAGACAGGAAAGACCATCCATGAGCTGGAAAATGCCAAGAAGACTGTTGAGACAGAGAAGTCTGAAATTCAGACAGCTGTGGAGGAAGCTGAGGTAATGTATTTTATAAAAATGTACTGTTTGTATTCAAATTTTAAAAAGTATCCCTTCTCCAGTTTATGTTGCAATAAAAAAATTTTTTTACATAACTCTTTTAATCATTTAAAGGGAACTCTGGAGCACGAGGAGGCCAAGATCCTTCGTGTTCAGCTTGAGCTAAACCAGGTTAAAAGTGAGATTGACAGGAAGCTGTCAGAGAAGGATGAGGAGATGGAGCAGATCAAGAGGAACAGCCAGCGGGTAATTGACTCCATGCAGAGCACTCTGGATGCTGAGGTCAGGAGCAGGAATGATGCCCTGAGAGTCAAGAAGAAGATGGAGGGAGACCTGAATGAGATGGAGATTCAGCTGAGCCATGCCAACAGACAGGCTGCTGAGGCCCAGAAACAACTGAGGAATGTCCAAGGACAGCTCAAGGTGACCTTTTTTCCTGATCATTTGTTAAAGAAACAGAATAGGTACTTATTTATTGATTGATTTATTTCATCAGGATGCCCAACTGCACCTTGATGAAGCTCTCAGAGGACAGGAAGACATGAAGGAGCAGGTCGCCATGGTGGAGCGCAGAAATGGTCTGATGGTGGCTGAGATTGAGGAGCTGAGAGCCACTCTGGAGCAGACAGAGAGAGGACGCAAAGTGGCTGAGCAGGAGTTGGTTGATGCTAGCGAGCGTGTTGGACATATACATATATACATTATTATTATTTGCATTATACATTATTTGCATGTCTGAACCAGAATTAACACACTTAAGGATTAGGGAACAAAAACATAATATAATACAGAATTAAACTGCAGGTTAATAAATAAATAAACCAATAATTAAATAAATGCCTAACCATAAAAAAACATAAATACTGTTGTTGATATTATGATGATGATTAGTGTATCGATTCTGATATATTCTATATATGTAGATTCTTGATATAGCATCCAATATTTAAACCAAAATATATTTTTCTTGTTTCATTCAGAACACCAGTCTTTTGAATACCAAGAAGAAGCTGGAGGCTGACCTTGTCCAGGTTCAGGGTGAGGTGGATGATGCAGTTCAGGAAGCAAGAAATGCTGAGGAGAAGGCCAAAAAGGCTATCACTGATGTGAGATTTTTTTTTCTTCTATTTTGTTTTTCACTATTACAGGGTTCTGAAATCTCTAATTTGCAGTTCATGTTAAGTTCGATTTTAATGTAGAACAGATTTTAAATTTTGGAAATATTTCATCACTTCAGGCTGCCATGATGGCTGAGGAGCTGAAGAAGGAGCAGGACACCAGTGCTCACCTGGAGAGGATGAAGAAGAACCTGGAGGTCACAGTCAAGGACCTGCAGCACCGTCTGGATGAGGCAGAGAACCTCGCCATGAAGGGTGGCAAGAAGCAGCTCCAGAAACTGGAGTCCAGGGTACAAACTATACACAGTACTAAAACTAGTTTCACAATCGAAGTCTACCTTTCTGTAGACATGTTCTTTTGCCCTCAGCGAGACTTAGTTTTTCTTGTAATTAAATTAATTATGCTTTAATTAATTTACTTGTTTTCTTTTATTCGTTATTTATTTATATCTATATATGTTTATATATGTATCTTTATTATTTAGTTTTGGTGTATAGCACTTTGCGTCAACTATGGTTATTTTAAAGTGCTTTTTAAGTAAAGATGATGATGATGATGATGAGGTAGAATTAAGACACTTTTATTTCTATGCTTTACCATGGCAATAATAATGTAGCTACATTGTTTTATTATATTATATTCTTTTATCAAATTCCAGGTGCGTGAACTGGAAGTTGAACTTGAAGCTGAGCAGTGACGTGGAGCTGATGCCATTAAAGGAGTCCGGAAATATGAGAGGAGAGTGAAAGAGCTCACTTACGAGCTAACTAAAAATGATCTAATTTATTGTGCCCATTTCCTTTCACTTACAACCCTAATTGTTTAGACTGAGGAGGACAAAAAGAACATCACAAGATTTCAGGATCTGGTCAGCAAGCTGCAGTTAAGGCTTACAAGAAACAGGCTGAGTAGGCTGTGAGTCAACTACAATTATATGACAAATTTCCTTCAGCTTGGTTCATCGCACGCCCATTGACTCCCCTATAACTAAGTCAGAATTTTGTAAATCCTTTACAGGAGGAGCAGGCAAACACTCACATGTCCAGGCTCAGGAAGGTTCAGCATGAGCTGGAGGAAGCTCAGGAGCGTGCTGACATTGCTGAGTCCCAGGTCAACAAGTTGAGAGCCAAGAGCTGTGACACTGGAAAGGTAGCAACTTCTGTCCAAATATCCAAAAAAAAAAAACCAAAAACAATTGTGCACATCATTATAAGTGAGACACATTGTAATGCTTTGTGCAGTTAAGCAAAAATTATTAAAACAAGATATGTTAAAACAGAAAAAGTCTTCAGAGGATTCAAATAACTTAAAACCTTTAAATAACTCTTTTTTTCTGTTGGTTTGTTTTTTCAGAGTGAGTCTGCTGAATAAGACACACTTGAATGAAGCTGTTCAACAGATTTCATAAAATATGAATCATCTGTTGGATGCTTTTAATGCATATTGCAAAATATCAATCAATGTTTTGAAAATGACTCATTCATTTTAATGTTTCTTTGCTTTCGTAAAATAATGTTTAGAATGTAAATTAATCAATTAAGAGGGAGCTATTAAAAGTAATAAATAAAAAGCCATACTGAATTGCTTAGTAGCCACTTTTGAAAAGGAGTATTCAGAAGGAATATTTATTAGCTCTACAGATAGCCATATAATGCAGAAAATATCTAAGAAGTAATAGCTCCTGCAACCAGTATTTTATGTGAAAGACATGTTAAAGGCCAAACTTACCTGTGGATTTACCAAAGGTTTTTAGAGTGTATTTGTCATGATAAATCAAATAATAAATACATAAGTATACATAAATTAAAGAAATCAATGAATTTGAAAATGAATTTAATGTTTGTTAATTAAATGAGTTTCTGTTACTAAAAGATTCTCAGTAAAAGTTCTGATAGTGTCTTGGTTTTATATAGATCTAGTGAGCTAGGTGGCTTATTAATAGTGACATATTTAGACAGAAACCATTTGCTAAGAACTGGTCAAATTTATTGTATTTATTGTACGTATAAGGAAGTTATTTATTTTCATTTGACAGCTTTTCATTTTATGAATTGACTAAATAACAAGAGAATAGGGCTGATAACTAAGGGACTGTTCATGGTCAGCACCTTAACCTGTCAGTGTTATTTAATTGTTTTCCAGTTTTAAGGAGTGCAGTCAGATATATATATATATATCTGACATATATTATATATGTGTTGGTCAGGCTTCACTAAATATGAGCTAGGCACAGTGATGAAGCTCACAGGCCATCTATTTCCACAGGGCAACAAAAGGAGAAGTCTAGTGTACAAACAATAAACAGTAGTAAGAGCTAGTTACTGTTAGTAACTAGCTCTTACTACAGTGCACATCTAGCAGGTAAGGAGAAGTCTGACTCAGAACGTACCATTTGAGGCCAAAACAACTTTCTTTATAACTGATCCCGATGAGCTGTATGTCTAATATAAACTGATTAAGAGAAAGGGTGGCAAAGTCACAGTGAAAAGATGGTATATTGGTACACAAAAAAGATACTGTTGAATATTTAAAAACACAATTTCTATTCGGGTGGTCACTGTGACAGAGGGAATTTAACCATAAAACCCTTCAACGTTCAGTAAACATGTCAAAGGCACGCAATGGAAAAGGCACATAGCTGGTTAAGAAGGAGGAGGAAAAGTTTACATGAATGTACCACTAGTACCGGTATATTTCAAATCCTCTCTTTCAAGGTTTCATTAAGGACCAAACCATTTCAACCAACCCTCTGTTGTTGCAATGTTTTAAATCTGAACAGGAAAATCAGTTAAATTCTGAAACCACCTGGTAACCAGTGACAAGAGACAAAAACAGTATAATCTAGATATAAACCCCAATCCAATCAAATCAAAATTAATTTCTATAGCACATAATAATACAATTAAGTTGTGCTTCACAGTCGGTCAGAGCAATAGCATAAGACAGAATAAAAAAAAAGAAAACAGTTAAAAGTTGTATTTTTTTATTTACAATATTTTATTGTGAACATATTTTTCTAAACTTTCAGAACTTTAGTTTTTTAACCCTAAGAAAAAGCTGATGGCTTACTTGTCAGCCTGAGGTGTGATATGATGATCTGTATAAACTGGACATGAATGCATGGTAGGGTTTGGGAATAATTAGAGTTTTTCATTGTTCGTGTGTGTTGTATCTCACAGCTGAGGGAACTAGAAGTCGAAACTAAGCTGAGATGTGGAGCTGAGTCAGTTCTCTTTTAATTACAGTTAGTAATCTGTATAGACTGAGGAGGAGAAGAAGAATGTGACCAAGCTTCAGGATCTTGCCGTCAAACTGCAGTACTGTATCTTGTTCTTTGTACTGTACTGTTGTTCTTTGTCATTCCATTTCCAAGTCAAAAACCTGATTTATGAGTAAAGTTACAATTTAATGACACTTATGTTTGTTGAAAAGTGTACTCTACTGATCCATAAAACAGTTTAAGTGCAATTTGGCTCTATGTTTCTTAATGTCTCTTAATGTTCCAGTTTTGAGTACCCGGTTCACAGGCTGAGAGCTGGAAAGGGAGCTTTTTATTCAGGTGATAGCTAATAATTGCA